GGTCCTCGGTGGCTGGCCCCGCAGGGACTCGGGTTACCGGCTTGTTTACTCGATGACTGCCTTGGCAATGGCCTCTGCTGGCTCAGCCCCTGAGCGCCTATCCAGTCCCCGAAAGCTTCTCTCGAAGCACCTGGACATTCATATCCCTTCGCAGCCCGGTTTCTGCCATTCCTGTGGCCCCTGTACTCCCAGCTCTCTCCCTGCTTTCTCAACCCTAGCTCCGCTGTGTTCCTCGTTTCCGTACACCCCCATCCTCTGCACCGCAGACCGTGGCCTCAAACCCTGGGATGTGAAGGGCAGGAGGCTCAGAGACCTAGGTCTCCATCCGAGCGAGCGCATCGAAGCGGAGGCCGGTTCCGACCGGACCCAAGGGACAGGTCTCCAGAGCAGGAATCTGGACAAGCGTCAGCTGCAGCCAAGTCCCCGGAGATTCCCCTAGACACTCCGATAGTGTCCTGGGACCAGCTGCCCCGCCCTGCGGCCTTTCCAGGGCTGAGTGTCCTGACATAGAAGGGAGGGTGCGCGTGAAAGCATCACACACAACACTCACAACTCACCAGTCACCCCGCAGAGCACACCCGGACGCCAGCCCATCTTCAGGCTCATAGCAGGCTCACGCCGGGCTCTGCTCTGGTGACATTCCCCCACCGAGGCCCCAGGGGCAACAGCGAGGGATGGTATTCCAACAGCCCCGGTAGCTGGCTTGGCCCAGAAAAGACAGGGTTCTAGCTGGAGGAAGACAAGCCCTAAGTTGGCGTGGCTGGGCGGAGCGTCAGAACTGGTACCGAGAGCTGGTAGAATCCTGCAGACCCGGGCCTAGAGGCAAGGGGTTGTCCCGGTAGCTCAAAGGAGGTGTGAGGAGGGCGTGACTGGCGGCTCCACTGGCCAATGGAAGCCCGGGGCTGCTCAGGCCGGCCCTATTCCCGCAGCCCGGGCGGAGCGTAGGCGGGGCTTCCGCAGCTGCAGCATTCGCTCGAGCCCGCGGGCGTTGCGAGGCCAGCGGCGGCCGCACCAGCGAGCAGGTGAGGGGGGCCAAACTTGAAAGGTGGGGAGCTTGAGGGCCGAGAAGCGGGTGGGTGCTGCGTTCTGGGGCTCAGAACTCCTCTGGAGGACTTGGGCCAGGGCTTTGTGGGTGATGTTTGGGATCTTCCGGGGCAGATTCTTCCACCCCATGCTGGGGACAGATTCCTGCAACCTCTTTAGACCAGAAGCAGCCACCTTGGCCCGCGGAACTCTGGGGGCCTGGGAGTCTTTGGGGGCTTGGCTGAAGCTGCCGCATGTCTTGAAGTCTTGCCCCCAAGGCCCGGACCCTTACTTGCATACACAGAAGTGATGCAACGAACAGTTCTGACCCACGCCGCTTGAAGCCCCAGGACCAATAATCCTATTCCGTCTCTCAGCCTCTACTGTGGCCTGGGGACAGGAGTAGATGGCTCAGCTGAGAGCAGGAACAAGGAGCGAGCCAGAGGTTCCCACCCTCTTCGTCTGAGCAGCGGCTCCGAAAGTCCGCGCTAGTGCCTGGACCCGGCAGTTCTCTGGCCGCGGGTGCTACAGGTGCATGGGCCGGGTGGAAGTTCTGGAGGGCAGTAGGGGCAGCAGTCACACCCTCCCCAACGCCCTCTCTCCGTGCCCAGGCCTGTAGCGCACACTCCCGGGGCAGCGCAAGTGTGGGGCTCCCGGACTCAGAGGCTGAGCCCTGCCCAGAAGCTCATGGAGCTCCCAGCCTGTGTCCGCACCGCTCGCAGGCTCCTTCCGGACGTGTAGGGCGCCGCCCCGCCCAGCACCATGGCCCACGGTTTTGCGGTGGGCTTCGACCCACTGGGCTTAGGAGACCTCAGCTCCGGCTCTCTGAGCTCCCTCTCCTCCCGAGGCCACCTGGGCAGCGACTCGGGCTCCACCGCAACGCGATACCTGCTGAGGAAGCAGCAGCGGCTGGGGGATGGGCGCCCCCTTTGCCCATGGGGAGAGTCACCCTCATCAACTCCCCCATCGAAGGTGGGGCGGGGCCGGACACTGGATGGGAGGGTGGGGGTTGAAGAAAGGTAACTATGTAGGAGGAGGCAGAGACTTAGAAGGGAAGGGGAACTCAAGAGATGGGGGTCTAGGGGAAGCTGGAGCCCGGGAGGGGCCTTTGGGAAACCATACACCCTTCCTCACCTACCCTTGCCTCTTCTGGGGCCAGTCCCTTAGGATTCCAGACTGTAGAACGGTCAGAGCGGGAGATAGGAGCATGGTGCCCAGGGAAGGCCCAGAGTGCTTGTGTGTGTGTGTGTGTGTGTGTGTGTGTGTGTGTGTTGGGGGCTGGCGGTGGTGGGAGGTATACTAGCACCCATGGAGCTAGGCAGCAATTGAAATAAGCCCCTCCGGCCCATGGACTCTGCTTTCTCCAGATCCATCTGGGTATGCCCTTGGGGTGGGGGAAGGTAGAGCTGGATGGAGAAGGACATCCTCCATGGACCTCCAGTGTCTTCTGTGACCACCTCTGCCTTGGGCTGCAGGAGTCAGTGCCCAGGTGCCAGACTGAACTAAAGGTTTTAGTTGCAAGTTGAGAAAAAAGGTAGTTCAGCAAATGCTCAGAAAAAGAGAAGAATGGGAGGGTTGAGGGTCGGGGAGGGAGCCCCAGGACTGGCGACCTGAGAGGTGGAAGAGAAGACCTAGGCTGGTGGAGTTGCTCTCTGCTGCTTCGTCGTTCACCAATTCCATACCAGCCCGAGTACTCCTGCAGGTGGCCTAGAACAAGACAGGCTCAACCCTTCCCTTCCAGAAATGTACTGCCGCAGGGGCTGGGGACACAGGGACAGAGCAGCCAGAACAGATGGAGGTGGCTGGAAAGGGGTGGGGCTCTCACCCACCAGAGCTGAGGTGGAAAGCATGGAGCACAGCCGGGCAGGCACTTAGGAGACAGCCTGGCTGAAGTGACAGATGTGAGACGACCCAGAGCTGGTGAGCAAGACTAGACCTTGAATGACAGCAGGGGAGTGGGGCCCCTGGGTCTAGGCCTCTGTGGGCAGGACCAGATGAATATCTGCAGCTCCTCTCCTCAAGCTGAGCCAGCAGGGCTTCCCTGGCTGAATCGCACACTGGGCTGTTTGGGCTCTGCTCCTCCTTCCCTCTGAGCCAGGGCATCTTGGGTCCCTTCCCCAGAGCACAGGCAGGGGGGCGTGTTTCCCAGGGAGCAGGCTTTCCTCCACCCACCCAGCATATTCACCTCCTCAGGGGAGCAGCAGGGCGCTGTGGAGGGTCACACTGTCACTCTGGTCAGGGAGCAAAAATTCTAGGAGGGATCAGCAGATGGCATAAGAATTACTTCACTGGACTCCCACATAGCCAGCTGTGGTTCGAGTCCCAGACCCGCCAGCTTAAAACTCAGACTGGGCGGATGTGCGTGCATGCCCAAGATCCCGAGAAGAGAATGGGGGAGAAGGGATTGCAGCATGACCATCCCAAATGGGGGATGATTTCTTGCTTTCTGCCTCTCTGTCTCTCCGGTGAGCAAGTATATGCACCCTGTAGCAAAAATCTCTCTAAAAATAAATAAATAAAAAAATTTTTAAAAAGTTCCAGGAGGAGCTAAGAGACACTGGGACAGGGTTCAGAAAAGGCAGACACTGTGACACTGCCCTAGTTAGTCCCAGTCTATGAAAGAAACTATGTGACAAACCCCCAACACACACACACACACACACACACACACACACACACACGGTCCGTTTATGAAGCAAGCGCTATTTCTACTGTCCCTCTGAAGAGCTCCCAGAAGTCCCCCCCATTGCTTGCTCCTAGTGTCTCACCTGGTGCCTCTGTGCAGCCACAGGAGCACCACCTCCAAGCCCCGGAAGGACCGGCCATTGCTCTGATTACCTGGCTGGGAGCCTTTGAGCTCGGAGTCCTCCCCTCTGCCTGGGCACAGGCATCTCCAAATCACAGCAGCCCAGGACCCCTGCCTCCCATCACTAGTTAGGACCACTCAGAGGAATAACGTAACTGGAAAGGGAGAAACGGGGCCAGCAGTTGGCACGGTGGTTGAGACACTGGACGCACACACAGCCAACCGTGGTTCAAGTCCTGGACCTGGTGGCTTGCTTTCCCACTCTGTCTTTTTATTTTAAAATTTTTATTAAACTTTTATTTAATTTTATTCATTTATTTATTTATCATTTTTAATTTGATCAGAGAGGGACAGAGTGAGACAGAGAGAGAGAAAGTGAGTAAGCAAGCCACCAGTTCCAGGACTCGAACCTCAGTCAGCGATGTGGGAGTCCAGCGTCCTTAACCCTTTAAAAGAGGAGAAACACTGAGGAGGTGAAAAATTTTAAATGATAAATAAATTAAATAATTATTTTTTAAAATACTAAAAAAAAAAAAAGAAAAAGAAAGAAAGAAATAACACGCAACTAAGCAAATAATGATAAAGGTTGGTAAGAATCCCGAGGGGAACCGTTTGGATGTGGTGACAGAGTTGTGGGTCTCAAACTCAAAGTGCATGCGGATTGCCTGGAGGGCTTTTATGAAAGGACGGGTCACAGCCTCACTCCCAGGGCTGCTGGTCTTGTGGGTCTGTTACAAAGACCAGGAATTCACATTTTTAACAAGCTGTCAGATAATACTGACGCTGTTGGTCTGGGCACCACATTTTGAGAATAGGAACCAATGTGAGGAAACAAGGACTTTTTTTTTTTAGATTTTTGTCATAGGACACCGGTGCTCACTAGGGAGAGAAACAGAGAGAGAGAGAGAGAGAAAGAGAGAGTGAGAAATCCCGCGTGGATTCCCAGGGGAGATGGCCATGCTGCACTCCCTTTTCCTCCATTCTCTCTGAATTCGGGCCATGCACACACAGATGCCCAGCGTGATTTCAAGCTGCCAGGTCCAGAGCTTGAACCATGAAGTCTGCCATGTGGGATCCAGTGCCTTAACCACCACACCACCTGCTGGCTCAGGAAGGGACTTAAGGTAGTCCAGGAAGGCTTCTCTGAGGAAGTGGTGTCAGCAGGAGGGGAATGAGGAAGGTCTGGGCAAGGGTATTGCCTGGGGGGTGTTGGAGGGCACTGAATGGCTTATATGAGAATGGGGTAGGAGGTCACTGTGGCCACAGCTCAGCCCCAGGGAAGGGAGAGTGGCCAGAGGTGAGGACAGAGCAGGCTGGGGAAGGCCCATGGAGGGCCTAGAGGGCATGGGGCGGAGTTTGGAGTTTCTCTAGCAGCCAGGGAGGGTCCCCTCGTCATGGTTAGTTGGGGCAGGCAGGCAGGCGTGGTCTCGCTGCCAGGGAAGAATGCACCGGGCTAGGCAGGAGGCTGCTGCGGGAGGGTGGGGGAAGGTTGGGGCCCAGGCTAGGACCCCGAGGGTAGGTATCTTCGGCCATCCTTGCAAGTTCCTGGCTTCTGATTTGACGACCCCTGGCCCTGGGTCCTAAGAAGGCCCAGGGAGGGACTAAGGAGACAGAGGACTGGGGGAGGGGAGCAAAACACTCCAGGACTGAGGCGGGAAGGGCCCTGAGATCTGTGTAAACATTCTCAGCCAGGAAGCCCCAGGATTGCCAGGATTGCTGTCTGTCCTCACCCTCCTTGCCCACGGGCAGCCCTTGGGGATGACTCTGAGCTGTTCAGCATCACCTTGTAACCTGATTTGTTAGATCAAGGTGAAGTATCTGCTGTGTGTGTGTGTGTGTGTGTGTGTGTGTGTGTGATTTCTCCCTCTCAAACACCTCTAGAGCCTTGCCCTAGGAAAAATCTCACCTTCTCACCTGGAACCCCATTTACCCTTGTAGTCTTCTCATTTTCTCTAACCTCAGGGCTCCACTCTGAGCCTCACTCTTGCCATTCCACTAGTGCCCCCCCACCCATCCTAGTTCTCTGACCTTCTCAACTCCAGCCCCAAGGACCCCTCCCCTCTGACGTCCCCAGCACTGACCGAGGGGCCTACCCTGGGCCCTGTGCACATTTGCAGCTCGGTGTGGGGGGGGGGCTCCCTCCTCGTGTAGCCAGGTCGTTTCTAGAGCCCTGATCTCCGAGCCTCAGGGATTCTTCCATAACACCCGATACAGGGCTTTACCAGGTCTCAGCTTGCCTGCCTCCAAAGACTTGAGGCTCACCGTCAGCCCCAGGAAACCCATCTGTTGTCTGCCAGCTGAATGTTTTAGGAAGTTTTTCCTGACAAAATCTGCCCTTGCCAAGCCACTAAGTGGGCTTGTTCTGCCCCCTCCAGGTTACTTAGACAGAAATGTTAATGTCTTCTGCAGGAAGGTTCCACTTCTATTTGAAAATAGAGGTAATAGGGGCCAGCAGGTGGTGTGGTGGTTGAGGTGCTTGACTCCTACATGGTTGACTGCAGTTCGAGTCTCGGACATGGCAGCTTGCTTTCTTACTTTCCCTCTCTTTCTCTTTCTGGTGAGCTTGTATGCCCTATAGCAAATTTTTAAGAAGTAATAATAATGAATCATATTAAATAAATAGTTCTTTTTTAAAAAAAGAAAGAAAATAGATGGGACCAGCAGATGGTGTAATGGTTGTTGTTGGACTCCCACACAATTGTCTATGGTTTGAGTTTCAGACCTGGCGGCTTAAAACTCATGCCAGGAGCATGCACATGCGTGCCCAGGATCTTGAGGGGAGAATGGCGAAGGGATTGTGAGTGCCCCTCTACCCTGGGGGGGTGGTTTCTTGCTTTCTGTCTCTCTGTCTCTCTCTAGCTCTCCAGTGAGTGCATGTGCCCTACAGCAAAAATCTCTCTCTTAAAAAAAAAAAAAAAGAAGAAGAAAAGAAAGAAAACAGAGCTATTACATTCATTTCTGCTGCAAGCTGAAGAGCCCAGACGTCCTCAACTGTGTGCCATAATGGAAAGGTCTTCTGTTTGTTTGCTTTTGCCAGTGGGCATGTGCGCTCGCTGCAGAGAGAGAGAAAGCACCCTCAGTGGGATGTGATCACACCACAGTCCTTTTTCCTCCATTTTCCCATCCCATCAGGATTTAGGACATGTATACCCAGGCATGTGCCCTGTGCGTTTCAAACCACTGGGGCTGGGATTCAAACCACAGGCACCCATGTGGGATCCAGCTCTCCACGGATAGCACTTAACCCTGCACCACAGGACCAGCCCTAGAAAGGATTCTTCAGCCTGCTTTTCTGTCCATCTGACCTACAGAGTGGCAGGAATTTTAGGAACTGACCTGCCCCAGGCCAGTGAGCATGTGAAGGCCAGGAAGCGTTCGTGCACACACCACACCACACGAGAAGAGCGCTGTGTTCCGGCATGGAGTCCTGCCCTGCTGTCCTCCCCGCTCCCACCTCCTTCCCGGCCCATGGTCCAGTTCACCTAGAGGGGACTTAGAAGTTGGCACCCCTTCACCCCACTTAGGGTCGTAGGTGCCCAGTGTCAACGGAAAATAACCAACTCTGTAAAAACAGTAATCAATGCGGATTATTTCTAAGCAGAATGAGTAACCTAGGCCAGAGGAGAGGCAAAACATGCCTGTCTGTCAGGGCAATCAGGTATAGGGGCTCCTTTGATTTGATTTTGGAGAAAGAGACAGAGTTTGGAATTTAGTAACATTTTCCATTGGTCCAGCCCCAAAAGGCGGGATATGCGAGGGAGTGGGGGGCTTGTAGGTTATGGGGGGGTTCACAGCTTTTAGGGTGGTGATTGGAAAAGGAAGGTTGCTGGGATCAGAAAGGAGCGTACTTTAACAGTGACAAAGACGCTTAATCCATGTCACAGAGACACTCCAGTACCATGCCGGGGGCAGGATGTGGGAAGAATAGTGTTACCAATGGACCCAAATGGTCTGTCAGCATCTGTGGGCATGACTCCCTCTAGGCCGTCTGGAAAGGATTTTGGAAAAATAGGAAAAAGCAGTCAGACTTCTGTCCCTATCAGCAACTCAGCCTTTTTGGCCCCACATTGGGGAATCCAGAGACCCTCGGTGCCCAGCACGAACGGGGTGCTGCTATCTCCTGGTCTCCACAGCCAACAGTGACGAAAGTGACATCATCCACGCGGTCCGGGTGGAGAAGAGCCCTGCGGGGAGGCTGGGGTTCAGCGTGCGAGGGGGCTCGGAGCACGGCCTGGGCATCTTCGTCAGCAAAGTGGAGGAGGGCAGCAGTGCGGGTGAGTGGACCCTCGAGGGGGCCTTGATGCCACCTCAGTGAGAGGCAGGGGATGCTGTCAGGGCTGGGGGCAGAGTGGGTGAAGGGAAGATCCTGGCCTAATAGCCTCTGCTCTGGGGGAACGCTCCGCTGGGGGCGGCTGCGCCAGGCCAGGGAGTCGACAGCGCCACGCCAGCGCCCTCTCCCGGTGCAGAGCGGGCCGGCCTGTGCGTGGGGGACAAGATCACGGAGGTGAACGGGCTGAGCCTGGAGAGCACCACGATGGGCAGCGCCGTGAAGGTGCTCACGGGCAGCGGCCGCCTGCACATGATGGTGCGGCGCATGGGCCGGGTGCCGGGCATCAAGTTCTCCAAGGAGAAGACCACGTGGTGAGCAGAGCCCGCGGGCAGGAGGGGCCCCTGCTCTCCCGGGCGCCAGAAACACAGGGATCCTCAGGCCCGCCTTGAAATGAGGGTCTCAGCCCCACCGACAGTCCTGCCCCCTACTGCTGGGAGCTTAGGGCGGTTCCCAGATTCCATGCAACCTCCTTCCACCCCCTCCCTGAAGGTTCCGGGCCTGGGGAGGCCCCCAAAGGCGCCTTTCCCATGCAGTTGTCAGGGCTGCAGGGTGGCGGCGGCTGGCCGTTCCTGGCTGAGGGCCCCTTGCCGGTGTCCCAGGGTGGACGTGGTGAACCGGCGGCTGGTGGTGGAGAAGAGCGGCTCCGCGGCCTCCGACAGCAGCTCCGAGGCGGGCGCGCGGCGCATCGTGCACCTCTACACCACGTCCGACGACTTCTGCCTGGGCTTCAACATCCGCGGCGGCAAGGAGTTCGGTCTGGGCATCTACGTGTCCAAGTGAGGGCAGAGGAGGGGCGTGGCAGGGGTGGCCTGGCCAAGTCCCTGTCCAAGTGCAGGCCAAGGCCAGGAGTGCCGCCTGCGGAGGGGTGGGCACCACCAGGCCAGGTCAGGGTGCCCACCTGTGGGGGTCTGGAAGGGGCAGGAGAGGGCGGGCCAAGGCCCTTCAGATTGACGCCTGTCTGGCCCCAGGGTGGACCATGGTGGGCTGGCGGAGGAGAACGGCATCAGGGTGGGAGACCAGGTCCTGGCGGCCAACGGCGTCAGGTTCGACGACATCAGCCACAGCCAGGCGGTGGAGGTGCTGAAGGGCCAGACGCACATCATGCTGACAGTCAAGGTGGGCAGGTCTGTGGGAGTCAGGCCAGGCCGGTATAGAGGGGGACTCCCCACCACCCCGGCACTTAGTGAGGTCGACTTGCTGCAGTTCACTATGTCTCTGCAGCACCGGCCAGGGTCAGCAGGCCAGGCCTTGTCCTCCTTCTCTTAATTTATAGAAGAAACTGAGGCCCAGAGAGGCCAAGGAACTCACACGCCAGTCAGATCCTCAGCTGGTTAGAAGCAGGTCGCCCCCCGACGGCCACTGTAGCACCTCTACTTGTGAATGGTGCCAGGCCTGGGGCTGGAAGGAGCACGTGTCCTGCCCCGAAGGGTGGGAATGGCCATGGTTTTGGCAGAACCTGGTTGTGGGCATCCTCAGGCCACAGAGCCAGGGAGCCTGGGCTGGGGCAGGAGGTGGATTTCAGAGGAGGCGGCCGCATTCCTTATTCACGGGGTCTCCGGGTCTTGGGTCCTCTCACCCTGCTCCAGGGAGGCAGCCCCAGTCCTGGCCCCGGCTCCGCCCACTCCTTCCCCGTGCATGGTTCAGTGCCTCCTTGGCTTTCCCTCCCAGCACCTCAGTTCCCCCTCTCCCAGCCCCTTTTCTCCCGTTCCTTGCTCTCAAATGACCCCAAACACCCCTTCTCACTTGCTCTGCCTCTCATTCATTCATTACAGTTTTTTTTTTTTTTTTGGAGAGGTTTTTGCTATAGGGCTTGTGTGCTTGCCAGAAAGAGAGAAAGAGACAGAGAAACAGAAAGCGAGAAATCACCCCCAAGGGAGGATGGCCACGCCGCAATCCCTTCTCCTCCATTCTCCTCTCGGGATCTTGGGCACGCACCCACACAAGCCTGGTATGAGTTTAAGCCACCAGGTCCAGGACTTGAACCACGGTCGATTACATTGGAGTCCAGTGACAGAGCCATTACACTAACTGCTGGTCCCCATTCATTACAACATATTTTTAAAATTTACTGTAAGGTGTGTGCACTGACCAGAGAGAGGTGGGGGCGGTGAGTGAGAAAGTCCCTCCCAGGGGAGACAGCTGCCTTGCAGTCCCTTCTCCGTTCTCTCAAGATTTGGGGCATGCAAACATTGCTAGGTCTAGGACTCGAACCGTGCAGTCAGCCATGTGGGATCCAGGCTCCTGAACCTCCATGCCACCGCTGGCCCCATTTACCGCATGCTGGCCACTCTGCCAGGTCCTGGGGCACAACAGTGAACAGGACAGACAGGGTCTCTGCCACTGTGTCAGATAAGCCGGATGCTGGCAGGTTGTGAGAAGTGCTAAAGGAAACTAACAGGAGGGTGGTGAGATTTAGGAAGGCGCCTGCACCGGGATGTCAGGGCAGGCCTCATGAGCTGAGTGGAGAACAAGGAGTTGGTCACGCGCCGGGCCGAAGGAAGAGAATCCCAGCAGTGGAGTAGCGAGTGCGAAGACCCTGAGGTACAGAGGAACTTGGAAATCGTGTGGCCAGAGCACGATGAACTTGGAGGAGAGAGATCGGGTTGAAAAACTTGCTTCTCTCCCTTGCCCTCCCGTTTTTACCTTCCTTACTCTCGTGCTCCCCGCTTGCTCCTATGCCTGTCTTCCGCCCCAGGAGACCGGCCGCTACCCCGCCTACAAGGAGATGGTCTCTGAGTACTGCTGGCTGGACCGCCGTAAGTGGCTTGGGCCCTCAAGGTTGGAGGGAAAGGACTGAGACCCTGGGGTGGGGCCCCAATCTCTGAATGAAGAAAAGGCAGGAGAGACCAGCAGTTAGTGTAATGGCTATGTCGCTGGACTCCAACGTAGTCAACCATGGTTCGAGTCCCGGACCCAGTGGCTTAAACTCACGCCAGGTGCGTGTACGTGCGTGCCCACGACCCTGAGAGGAGAATGGAGGAGAGGGGATTGAGGTGTGGCCAACCCTCCTGGGGGGGGGATTTATCACTTTCTGTCTCTTTGTCTGCTCTGTCTGTCTGGTTAGTGCAAGCGCCCTATAGCAAAAAAAAACCTCTCCAAAAAAAAAGAAGAAAAGGCAGGAGACCCAGATCCTCTTGGGGCAGTAGCCATGCCGGGAGCCGTTTCTGGGCTCCCCTCTGGGAAGCTGCAGATTCAATTCCAGGCTCTCCTAATGTCTCCTAATGTGGGGAGTCCCAGAGGGAGAATCAAGAAGTGACCCCCAGACCTCCCCACCAGTCAGCGGCAGTCTTCGGAGCAGCCGCTGCTTCCCTAGGCCCTGTGTTCTAACCCCAAAGCGCAAGCGCAGGGGTGATCTGACGCCTGCAGGGCCAGACCCTGAGCCCCGCCTTCCCCGCTGCCCCCGCAGTGAGCAACGGGGTGCTGCAGCAGCTGTCCCCCGCCTCCGAGAGCAGCTCCAGCGTCTCCTCGTGTGCCTCCAGCGCCCCCTACAGCTCGGGCTCCCTGCCCTCCGGCTGCCTGGATGTCTGCCTGGGGCCGGAGGAGCTGGGCAGTCCCGGCCCAGGCTGGGGACGCGCGGACACCGCCATGCAGACCGACCCTGACGTGGGGGGCCGCGTGGAGACTTGGTGCAGCGTGCGGCCCACAGTCATTCTCCGGGACACGGCCATCCGATCCGAAGGGCCCCCGCCTGCCCGCCGCCTGGACTCAGCACTCTCGGAGTCCCCCAAGACGGCCCTGCTGCTGGCCCTCAGCCGGCCCCGGCCCCCCATCACACGCTCCCAGAGCCACCTGACCTTGTGGGGTAGGTTGGGAGGGTGGGATGCTACTCTGGCCACAGCTCCTGGTCCCGAGCCTGCCACACCCGGTCCTGGGCCCCTGACCTGAGTATGCGCAGTCGCTGTGCGGGGCTCAGCTTGAAACTAGTCCTTGGTCCCAAACCCCCTCTCAGTCCCACCCCCAGCTCAGATTGGCCCTGAGCCACAAGTCAGCCCCAGCCCCAGCCTCTCCATCCCAGACAGCCCAGGCCTGCACGCACACACGTGCACACACATGCACACACACGCACCCTCTCACACACGCTCCTCAAAGAGACCCTCAATGGAGAAGGCTTACACAGCTACAGCTAGGGGCTGGGGGGACTAGGAAAGTTGGAAGAGGATCCCCACTCCCACCCCACCCGCCACCACTGCAGATCCTGTCTGCCACCCCCACTCTCCCTTCTCTCTGCCCCCTTCCTACACCCCTGCCCCTCGTCCTTCCCTTCTGCCCACCCCTCCAGCCCCCTGGGTGCTCCCTCGTGTCTGCAGAGGAGAAGAAGCAGCGGAAGAAGGAGAAGTCTGGGTTCCCTGGGGAGAAGGGTGCCCTGCAGCGCTCCAAGACGCTGATGAACCTCTTCTTCAAGGGAGGGCGGCAGGGGCGACTAGGAGGGGACGGGTGCAGAGAGGCCTGGACCCTGGACAGCGGGAGCCCGGCCAAGGCCCGCCCTTGCCTGGACCTGGAGAAAGGTGAGCCGGGGCTAGGCTGGCCGGATGGGGTGGAGGGGAAGTTGCCAGGGGGGCTGGGTGGGATCCCACACTGCCTCTGATCAGCCCAGTTGCCGTCAACCCCTGTGAGCCCCAGGTTGCTCCTGAGTAAAATGGGAGTGATATTTCCTGTTTCTGGGCCAGCTGGTGGCAAGGTGGTTAAGATGCTGAATTCCAGGGGCTGGCAGGTGGCGTGGTGGTTAAGGGCGCTGGACTCCCACATGGCCACCTGCAGTTTGAGTTCCCAACCAGGCGGCCTGCTTTCTCACTTTCTCTCTGTCCTTCTCTCTCTCTCTCACTCTGTCCCTCTCTGGTAAAATCTAAATAAATAAAGCTATGGAAACCAGCAGTTAGCGTAATGGCTATGTCGCTGGACTCCCATGTAGTTGACCGTGGTTTGCGTCCCGGACCTGGTGGCTTAAAACTCACACCAGGCGCGTGTGCGTGTGTGCCCAAGATCCCAAGAGGAGAACGGAGGAGAGGGGATCGCGGCGTGACCATCCCCCCTGGGGGGTGATTTCTCGCTTTCTGTCTCTATGTCTTTCTCTGTCTGTCTGGCAAGCGCACGCGCCCTATAGTGAAAAACCTCTCCAAAAAAAATAAAAAATAATAAATAAATAAATATATAAAGCTAAATAAGATCATTAAAAAAAATAAAGATGCTGAATCTCACAGGGCCGACTGCACAGTTCAAGTCCTGAACAGCTCAAGTCCAGAGGCTTAGAAAAACATACTGGGGGGACTAGCAGTTGGCGTAATGGCTATGTCACTGGACTCCCATGTAGTCGACCACGGTCGAGTCCCAGACCCAGTGGCTTAAATTCACGCTGGGGCTTGGAGGAGAAGGGATTGTGGCGTGGCCATCCCTCCTGGGGGGTGATTTCTCGCTTTCTGTCTTTCTGTCTCTCTCTGTCTTTCTGGTGAGTGCACACACTCTATAGCAAAAAAAAAAAAAAGAAAAGAAAAAAAAGAAAGAAAGAAGAAAGAAAGAAAGAAAAAAAAGAAAGAAAGAAGAAAGAAAGAAAGAAAGAAAGAAGAAAGAAAGGAAGGAAGGAAAAGAAAAACACACTGGGTTTGTGGGGGCAGCGGATGGTGTAGTGGTGAAGGCGCTGGACTCCCACATGGGCAGCTGCAGTTTGAGTCCTAGATCCAGCGACTTGAAACACCGGGCACATGTGCAAGTGTGCCCAAAATCCTGAGAGGAGAATGCGGGAGAAGGGCTTGTGGCGCGGTCATCCCCCTGAGGGGTGGTTTCTTACTTTGCCTCTCTGTGTCTCTCTGTCTCTCTTTAGTGAGCCCTCATGCCCTACAGCAAAGCTAAAGAAAAAAAAAAAAAAAGGAAAAGAAACCAAATAACAATGCTACTACCTGTCTCTCTAGGAGCAGTGGACATTAGAGTTAAATGCCTCGGCACTGTCTGACGCGCAGACGGTGTGTGTGGTCACAGAGGAGGGGGTGGCCCTTGTCTTACTGCCTGTCTCCCCATCTCCCGGGACCGAATGGAGCCCAGCCCAGCAGGGAGGTGGGAGAGCTCTGCTCTGGATGGGGTGAAGGCGGGAGGGTGGCAGGACACTTTTCCCAGGGCATTTGGCTTGACCTCCCCTGGCCAGAGCTCTATAAGCCTGATCCAGTTCTAGAACCATCCTTGAGCAACACCATTTCTAGCTCAGGGCTCAGGCAGAAGGGCCCAGCCCAGGCTGGACTCATATCAGGGGCTTCCAAAGGCCCCTCACGAGGGGCCCTCCTGTCTCTGGGAGGACTTTAAACCAGACCAAGAGCGGTGAGTCCCGACCCTTGGTGTTCGTGTGACGGCAACTCACTCGACCCAAACTGGCTTCAGAAGCACTTCCTGCCTCAGTTGCTCATGGCACTGGGTCCAGAGACTTGAACATCACAGACTTCTGTCCCCTCCGTCTTCCCCTGGGCCGTTTCATTATGGCGTGGGCTTTGGCTAGGTGAGATGGCCACTACTGCATAGCCACTGCAGGGGACGGGCTTCTGCATAAACAGTTCCAGCTGAGTCCCAGGGTGGGCTCTTGTCAGCCTGCCTGGGGCCACAGCCATGCTGAGGTGGGAGAGAGAGGGTGCCTCCGGCTGGCGGGGTCGCCTGCCCATCCTAGAGTAAGACAGGGGTGGGCTGGGTTTCCAGGGGGAATCGCAACTCTGTTCCCAGAAGGAGAAGTGGATGTGGGTGGGCAAAAGCCACCAGAGGCTCAGGAGCTGGGCCCTGTCCCACCCTGAAGTTGGGGCTTCTGGGATCTCAAGGGGACAGTCCCGGAAGAGTCACAGTCCCTTCCAATTAGGGCCAGCCCCCTCTTTCAACCCGTCTCTCTTCCTGCAGCTCCCAGGGCTCCGGCCACTCCTCTTTCTCCTTCAAAGGTTCTTCTTTCCCCCCCCTGTCCCCTGGAGGTAGGTACTGCCCTTCCCCCTCTGTCCCCTAGAGGTAGGTACTGCC